ATTGATCATGATAATCGAGATTAGTTAATGCTTACACAAAATTCTTATTTTTCGATTCACTAATGCGTCCAAGAAAATTTGATTTCAACTTTTCTGTAAACCTTTGAATGTTCGAGACATTCTCGACTCTATCTAGACTTCTCGTTCACATATATTTAAATCTGAGTTGGTCCAATCCTCAATGACATCTTCATTTCGAGATCGATTACATAAAATTCTTATTTTTTGTTTTGAGATCAACTAGTATGTCTAATGAACAATGTTAAATACCCCATTGGATTACAACTTTTGCATAAGTTAACATCTTATTCAATATTTGAGACGTTCTCGATTCTATCCAAACTTCTCATGCACATGGGTTCGAATCAAGTCGAGTTGATCTTATTCTCATCGACATCTTTCGCATCAAACAAAATAATATTTTGAGAGCTATTATACTTTTTAATAGATATAAAGAAATTAAAAAAATTCTAGCAAAAGATGGGTCTAAATTTAAATTCGCATACCAAATAAGTTTTTTTTCTCATATATAAATAAACATAGACGAATGATATTAAATCATATAAAGCATAGGAAATATTATTTCACATTATTATGTTTTTATAAAATATATATATTATATAATGAAGGAAAGTCTTTCTCCACTAAAAAATAGTTCACAAATATAAATATATAAGTATGTATATAATGAAAGTTTCCCCTCAATGAACACAATAAGAAACAAAAGGAATTAACATGAAAAGTCCTATCCACTAGTCTTGAAGTCAAAACGAGCAACAGTGCATTAATTAGCCGAAAAATACTATACAATAAAAATACGACACGTTATACCTCCCATAGAATTATTATTTTGAGGACATCATAATTCGTGGCTTCTCGAGGATCTAGAAATATGTAGAAGGTTCTGGAATGCATGTCCAAGTGATACTTGCAATGTCATCTTGATGTTGGTGTCATCGTCTCCAACGCAATGGTCATGTCTCTATCACTTTCGAAATAAGATATTAATCAACTTAAATATCTCAACGTAGATATGGAAAGATTAGTATCGTCACAAATTTTTCATGAAGAAAAATATAGGCATATTTTTTATGATATATAAAAGTTGGGTTTAGCTTTTTAGGCTTTCCCCCTCCTTTCATATAGTAGATATTTATCATGATAATAAATATGCTAAAATTATGTCAAACCTTGGTGTTTATAAATATATACAAAATCATAAAAATCTACAAAAAAAAAAAATTATATAATGATAATATTCCTGTGTTATACTCATGTACCGTAACAATATTGAAACTATGCTAAAGCTTCTCATTCTTTGTATATATATATATATATTGTGAAATATAGGAAGCTTGGAGTTTAAGTTTGGGTAACTCGAAGAAAATTTATAGTTCATCGAGGAATTTTATTTTATTTTATTTTATTTGATAGATGATTTATTATTATATGTTTTCATTAATTTTGTAAATAAAAATCTTCTCATTATTTGGTTTGATTCGATTGGATTGAACACAAGCAGCTCAATCAATAGTTGTGAGTAGGTAATAATTTCCATTTTATCACCTTTGCTTGCAAGAAAAGTTGAGTTGAAACTGAGGACTTTTGTCTCCAAAGGGATGAGAGAGGCGTGTGAGTTTGACTGAGGAAGTGATTCCTTACAAGGCATGCATGACTTGCACACACACACACACACTAACAATCACAAAAGCATGGTGGGTTTGGTTGCTGAAGCCAAGTTTGGGGTGATGTCAACTATCTATCTCACCTAATTCACATGGGATCATCTAAGGTTGGCAAATGCCTAATTGATGTCTTGGTGTGGTGGGAGAAGGCATCATGTAACATTTTACAGCTTAAAGATTGACTTTTTTTTATAATGTAATGAATATAGGATGTTTCTTTTTTTTGAAAAAAAATCCACATCTTAGATTTTTTTTTCCGATATTATTTCTTATTTTTATAATATTCATAAAAAACTTTTACATATCTCATACGCACTTAAAATGTTCTATTATAAGAAAATAGACTTTTCGTTTCAAGTCTCGGTCGATCGAATTCATCGCGAGTCGAATTGAATCGATAACGATGTATTTGATTTATCGAATTGATTAAAATATTTTTAAATTAGTTTAAATCCATATTAATTACAATCATTAATTTTATTATACAAAATGAGTCTTAATTATTTTTATTTTTTAATTGAATCTTGAATGGTTGACATGTTCCCAACTATAATTCGATAAAGATGATATTTGATCTCAGAACCTCTTGTGAATATTAATAATATAAAAGATCAAATTATGAGAGTACGATGAGTATACATACAAGTCATCGAGTGAGTTCGAACCATTTACATGTTTGGATCAAACTTGGATCCACACCACCAGAATAATTGGTCGGGTGTCTTTTCATTTGACATTAGATTGCACACTTTATGGCTCTGACTTGCATTACTAACCTGTTGACTCTAGAAATCTTCGACGTATCTATACAAATCCCTGTGTTCTTCACATCTCCTACCTTCCCAATTGCTTTAACGAAAGCTTTCTGGCCTTCCAATCAAATATATCTGTCACCCATTTATTGACAACTACGTTAGAGAGAGAGAGAGAGAGAGAGAGAGAGAGATAGTCAACGGTTAGCGGGGGTTTAGCTGCGGTTGCCCACATGCACACGCCACGTTCCCGTAAACCCGCCGCAACTTCTTACGACTTACGTCATCGTCTCGAGATGGTCGTCGGCCTTTTATTCTTTTTAATTTGAATTTATTTACTATGATATCTGATTTTTTTTTAATTTATTTAATTTTAAATTAATTAATTATATATATATATATATATGTTTAAATCACGTTAGATTAATTAGGATGTCAATAATATCTTCTTATAGTAATGTGATTTACTTTATTTTATTATTAAAATTTATATGTATATTGTTGGAGTTGATGAAGCTAACAAGGATGGCATCCTAAGACAATGCCTAAGTTGTATGAACTTATAATGTTGAGTAGTTGCTCTTCTTGTTTGTTTTTGTTGCTTTCGATCTTGATTGTTAAATATACTTGAGACTTGAATTTAATCCGAATCTAATATTAGAGTTGTATCCAACAGTCAAAACACTTGATAGACAAAAATATACGCTAGCATTCACGGATCAAAGGATGCACCAAAGATAGCATTTGATAGTGAGTTTTTGAATCGAAATGGAGAGTTAATTTGTTAGACGATTACGTATAATATGTTATCGGATTATCCACATGCCACTCTCCTCTTATCAACTTTGAATGATGCTCCTTTTTATTTTACTATGTTACAAGTATAACTATTATGTTGTTAATCAAAATTCTCCAAATCCTAAATATTCTTCATTTTGATATGAATGGTAATCTTAATTTGATGATCGCATGTCGATTGAGTATTGGTCTTAGCTGGCTAAGCATCGACATTGTTGACATCGAGCCTTGATGTCATAGCCTCAAAATCCACGTGACAACTATAGATTAAGTTAGATTATATATCTTTTCGCCATCAAACCTCCCTCCACTTACCTTAAATATAAATATCTTATAATTATAGTTAGAATTATAAGTATAAAAATTATAATCATATTTATATTATTAAAAAAATTAATATCAAGATCTAAAATTAAGTAACCATATATTGAAGTTTAAATATGCATATTTTTATCTAATTTGTAATTTCGTTATTGTACGATAAAAAAATATAATAATAATGATATGTAATGAGTACTAGTATTTTTTTTTTATAATTATCCTTTCATAAGATATAAAATAGGAACTAAGGAAAGATGAGAAAATATAATAATTAAAGAGAGACAAAAAAAGATAATTTAGATATTATCAAGTCCTTTATCTATTCATAGGTGAGAGATGAGGGCATCAGATAAATAATCAAGAGAATCATATTATAATTATATTTTTATTAATTATAATTTAATTAAATCTATAATACATCTTGCCTAACATAATATAACAAATGAGTGCAACTAAAAATAGAAATACTCATCAATTCAAATATTGAATTTAGATAATATCCATAATCTCTAGGATGTGGTAGGTGAGAGCAGAAAGCATTGAATAGTTAACAAGAAAGTCTCTCACATCAAATTAATTTCTTAAGAAATTATATCATAATTAAATTTTTTAATTGATCAATAATCATAATCAAAGTTATGATATATTTTATCCAATCAAATAAGACTAATGATATAATAAGAATGAGTGCAACCAAAAATAGATACACTTTAGTCACGGAAAAATCTAAAGTTTGGCTAAAAAGCAATAGAACAAATTATTTCTTTGACATTTTCAACCTACTTATATTAGGTTTGGACAATCTTTTGAGTGAATTTGGGATAAGTCTGGAAAGAAATTTTTTTTACAATATTGATATTTTGGTATGATGAATTTTTTTTTTAAGAAGATATCCGATAATTTAGAAAATTTTGGGATCAATTTTTATTTTCATCATTTTTTTCTTTGCAAAAAGAAAAAAACTTTTGAGATATCTTCGTATCAATGTCTCGACAAGTGTCAACTACGCCTACTTCCACTTTAAATGACTTATGTAGTTGGGCTTAGGTTCACTTCAAATAGCTTCTGATGCAAACCCATATAATTGGGCTCGCCGTGGGTTCGCCTTCCTTAAGTAAAATATACTACATGTAACCCAAACCCATATAACCCAAACTCAAACATTCTGTAGAATATACTGTTTTAGGAACGTATATGTGTGCGTAAATTGTAATATTAAAATTTGGAGTAAATATGATATTTCTAAAATCTGAAAGGATAGATATATAAAACCTTTATATTATTATTATTATTACTATTACTATTATTATTATTATTATCCTTATCCATGCGTCTCTCATAGCCCATCCTTTTCTTCGCCTCCAATGATTGATCTTGGAAATCTCACAATGTCCATCAGTAACCATATGGTTTATGGGGTGGCATTAAAGCTCCCTCCACAAGTCACTTCTCCTCTCTCGCTCGCTCGCACTCTTTCCCCGAAGGTAAGCTAATTCCCGTGGCAGGTTTCTGCTGGCAGAGGGGCACATACGGCTCCTCCTCTGGCGTCCAAAGCCCCGCAACCCCTATCCACCTACTGTGCTACCTCCTCGGCTTCCAGCTCTCTATACATACCCAGCGGTCAAAAACTCCCATCTTTCTCTTCTCTTGCTCTCTCTATTCTTCTTCGTCTTCGTCTCCGTTCTTCTTCCGAATCCTCTTATCAAGACCTTGTCTTTACCCATTTCTTCCGCTTGTCGCGGTGGTTCCCCTGCTCAGGAATGGAAAAGGAGGGATTTTTCGCCGTGAACTGGCAGCCGAAGATGTATTCCGGGTCCGACGGCGATCAATTGCCGCATTCCTACCTCAGCCTCAGCTGGGGGCAGCCCATGTGCCACTGCCGCGATACCCACTTGGAGTCGGCGCTCAGTTCGCTCGTCTCGTCGCCGTCGTCCAGCACGCCTGCCGGCAACGAAACCGTCGTCGTCAGTGAGCGCAGCGGCCGGCTCTGCAGCATCTGCAACTCCGGGGAGATATCCCCTCCCTCGCGGTACCAGAGTGCTAACAACACCTCGTGTTACAGGACGCCGCTCGATTCCCCTCCGAAGCTCATTCTTTCCACGATGGGTCACCAGCAGCAGGGCAGGGCACCCCTGCCGATGCCGGGGAATCAAACGGCGGCCGAGCAATTCGCGCCGTTCACAGCCGACTCGGGATTCGCGGAGAGAGCCGCGAGGTTGTCGTACTTTGGAGCGACGAGTGGCGGCGGTCTTGGGGCCCAAGTCGGCCTCGCCGAGGCTGTAAAGCTGTCGAGGGTCTCAAGCAGCCAGTCTCTGATGGCAGCCAGCCGGCAACAGATGGGAGCTTCGAACAGCGGCAAGGAGGCACCAATGACGGACGCAGAGAGATCGAAGACGGAGACAAGGTTGAAGCTTGGTGGTCGGACGTCAGGATCTTCGACGCCAGACGAATCGTCGTCCATGTCGGATAGGATGACGACGAGCAGTGCAGAGACCAACTCGAGGAAGCGGAAGTCAGCTCCAAAGGGGGCACCTTTAACATCCTCCAACACGAATCCTCTCAAGGTATGTCTCGAGCTTGATTCTTGCACCACATAATTCTCTGATCGAGCACTAAAAAGCCAAGAATTCTCGGTTTGCAGCTGAGCGAGGTGGGAGATTCTGATACAAAGAGATGCAGACCAGCTGAAACCAATGCGACGGCGGTCGAGCCAAAGAAACAGAACAACAGTGCGAAGCCTTCGGAGTCCCCCAAAGACTACATCCATGTCAGGGCGAGAAGGGGACAAGCCACCGCCAGCCACAGCCTCGCGGAGAGGGTGAGCAATCGAACACTTCTTTCTACGGTGATCAGCCTCCTCGTGGCATCAAGTTTGATATTGTCTTCTTCCTCGATTTACCAGGTCAGAAGAGAGAAGATCAGTGAGAGGATGAAGCTTCTGCAGGATCTTGTGCCGGGCTGCAGTAAGGTAACAGATGCTTAACCAGTTCTTGCATCAAGATGAAGTCCTGACTCCTTCGAATCTTAGGTAACTGGCAAAGCGGTAATGCTGGACGAGACCATCAACTACGTGCAGGCATTGCAGCGGCAAGTCGAGGTAGGATCATAGAAGAGAGTCAATTTTCACTTCCCTCGGTGAGCTACTTTGTCATCTGTACTAATGCTGTCACGTTTCAGTTCTTGTCGATGAAGTTGGCGACCTTAAATCCCCAACTAGACTTCTCATGTGCTCAGCAACCTCTGGGGATCCCTCTTGAGAGCATGGTGGCCAATGGATCTGATGTACATGGATCCCTCTTCGGATAGGCATCTGGGAGAACGACCTCCTCTTAAGTCTGCCTGCCGAATTGCAGCAACATTTTCTTCTTGCCTCAGATGTAAGATTGTAATAATATGGGATGGTATGGTTGATGCTATATTGTATTATGATAAGGATGAAATGTGATACCTGTTTGAGCTGGAAGTCAACTATAAATGAATTTGGTACCTCTCTTCTTCTTCTTCAGTAACTTAGCTTCTGTTCCAAGAGGATCAGCATCAAATTGGCTAATTAAAGATTTGAATTTGAAACGGATTGATCGAGGAACAAACCATTGTTCATAAAGTTGAATCACTCAGGCTCTACAGTTCACTATCCAGCTGGAAGCCATGGTGGTATGAACTCCTTCCATCAATGCCTCGAAACGTCTGCTCTTCTTTTCCTGTCTTATCAGTTGTGGTCTACCATTCATGTCCTTAAGGTTGTATGATGTTTTGCCTCCAAAATTAAGCCAAAGCTTAGATTCACCAGTCTGCAATACTCGAGCAAGGACAAAGGTCTTGGAAGGTCATACGTCATCAACCCCTGCTGAGCTCTAAATTAAGCTTCTTAGCAGTGAATCATATTGTGTACCCTTTTACCTGATTTCTTGTTGCTGAATCATAGTTCTGTACTTCCTTTTAACCACTGCAACTAAATCTGCTAGATGGATTCAAAGCTGTTTGGTGCAGATCCAAATCTCACGGTCATGCTCCTGATCAAAGATAAACAGCTAGGGGAGACAGTATCCGGAACATTAGAGGACATGCTGTGGCACCAACCATCCTAATCAGTGAACATCTACATGTCTTTCCAACCAACCATCACTGAAGCAGCTCGGATTCACAAGCAATTTGTCTCAAATAATATTGATTTGGACTAATCATGTCACACCCACTAATAATTATATATTTCCGTCCCTTTTAGCACTCTCCAGCTAATATATTTCAATCTCTTATGACATGGTAGATCTAATGATTCATGTAAGTCTACTGTCTGCATTAGGAATCCATCTCTGTAGGAGAATAGACAGTCTGATCAACTTGAAGGCCTTCACCAAGAAAGAAAAAAGTTGCTTCATATCACACATTTGGACTCAAATCTCAATCCCCATATCAGCTATGCTTCAGCAATGATAACCAATATATAATGTGATTAGGTGAAACATTTACACCAAACAAGATGCACTGCCATGGCAAGAAAGCTTCTCTACCAAGAAGGGCTGGGCAATCTAACTCCCCTCGTATTAAATGCCATAAGATATGTATTGAATTCCTGTTCATACAGCTGGCCAAATCCAGATAAGAGAGTTTAAACATCCTTCTCAACCAACTGGCAATACGATCTTCTATCATTCACCAACTAATCAACATGAATGTCACAAACAAGTTACTGTTCCATGATTTGGGCACATCATGTACCACTCATGTCATCCAATACCAATTAAAGTTTAAGATAAGTTACGATCATTAACATGTGATGCAAAAATAGAGGATAGGCTTTGATGTCATGGTAACATTCTTCACTTACAGAGATAAAAGCTGTGTGTTAGTCCTCCTCAGAACCTAATATGGTGTTGGTAAGAGCAGTTGTCCTTTGCTTTTACCAGATCTACGACTGTTAGTTTCTGCTGAGACGTCAGATCTACAGCTGTTTTCTGTAAAACCAAAAAAATTAATCACCACAGAAATAGAAATTCTTTCACTGATTAGCCTTAATGAAAAGAAATAAATTTGCTGAAAGTTAATGTTCAGTACTAAAGTATTAATGCTTACACACATGTAAACAAAAAACAAGTAACCATTGAACTACTGATTATTTTTACTGTGAGGGAGATTAATATCTTCTGGAATGCAAATCTCAGAGAACATGACCAGTTCTCACGATTGGTGAGAACCAGAAATTGTAGATGATGGTGATTCATGACACACAAGTGCTACATTACCATCGTTTAAGGTGTTGTACAACATGTCTTTTCCTCGTGATACAAACATATTGCTGGCATGTTCCTTTAGAATTTTTAGATATTGCACCTATCATAACCAGCAAACCATGAATTAGGATCTGTGTCCATTGATAATTCAGTATCCCCTCTCTTGCAGAAAGGTTCAAAGTCCTCTGTCCATCTCTGCTCACTCTTTCCTTCCTCAGATTTGGGCACTTCAGAATCATCAAATTCTGTGTGTTCAAGAGCTTCTTTTGACGAACGTGATTCTGCAAGTATCTGTTTCAACGAAATAATTTCTCTATCATGATTCTTCTTCAAGCTATCTATCTCTTCGTTTGCCTTCTCAGTCTCTTTCTCTGCCAGTAATGCTCTTTTCTGCAAGATGTAGAGCAAAGTAAGAAATATAAGCATAGATCAACAGAAAGCAAAAAAATAAAAGGGTTCAGAAAGAGAATTAAGATATAAGCATAAACCAACTGAACACACAACACAGGATTTTATTTAGTAATATCCAATAGATGTTTGACCATAACTGACTTGGCACCAGAGAATATATATTCATGAACCACTTGTTGCTTAATCTTGGTGAGATATAAGAAATTTTTTGTAGTATTTTGTGGTGAGATATAAGGAATATATCACTCTTTATCCCTCAACAGGCCTCCAACATCAGCAACTGATTATACTGTTTAGATAAAATCAACACTATTTGAAGGTAATAACCAAAGCAATGCTACGAAAGGTCCTTAAGGTATGAGCTTAAGCCAGTAAGTAACCATAAACAAAAATCATGAAGGAGACTAAAGGTAAAAGGTGTGATTTCTCTTATCATTTGATAGACAGCAGGTGCCCATGATAAAGAATAAAGCATACTCTATGTCCTCTCTCTTTTTTATGCTAGTAATAAGTTGTACTTGGTATTTCCGTAGAGCCTTCAGGACATGTACAACAGCCAAACAATGTATATACAGTTGTACATATGAATCTTAATGTGGGAACAAATTTACGGGGAAAAAAAAAAGAAAGGTACCTCGGCAATTGCAGCAGTTTCCTCTGCTTCTTTTAGCCGCACAAGAAGCTCACCAGCAGCCTGTAGAGCTTCAGCAGTGTCTCTGAGTTGGGTTTGAAGGGCTTTATTTTCATCCCTCCATTGTTGCCTTTCCCTTCCTCTTTCTGATTTTAAGACTGAAATTTCAGCTGCAAGAGATTTAACGAACTTTGACTCAGCATCCTTGACTCCCACTTCTGCTGCTGCTTCCATAACATTATCAATATCATCACTGATTTTCCGATTCCTTAAAAGCAGTGCAGTGTGTTTCTCCTGAAGTTCAGCATACTGTTCTAGAATGCGGGTATGACCCTGCATAGCAGTTTGTAGTGCCTCTTTCAGCTCCTCGGCACATTTTTTCTCAGATTCAAGTTCCAATTTTAATTTTTCAGCCACAGATCGACTTGCTTCAAGTGCAAGCTTAAGTTCTTCAACAAGAGAAGAATTGCTCTCTCTTTCTGTCCAACTACCCTTCTCTACTTCGACTTTATTACCAGCACTTATTTCATCCAAATCTGTTGTTGTGCTGAGTCTGCCCTGATGAGTTAATTGAATCAAAGAACAAGGTTTTTTGGTTGATTCAGCAGAAGAGGATTCCATGTAGTATTTCAATTGACTTCTTAAATCCTGAATCTCTTCCATTAAAACATCCCTCTCGCCCATAACAAAGAAGTTTCTATAGCCATCAAGCTCATCTTGCACTCTTTTCAGCTCGATATTTACCCGTGAAACTTCTGGATCATTCTCGTATTTCTCTTTGAGAAGCTACAGTTTGACATTAAAGTTTTAAAATCAGTAAGAAGTTTTGATAAAAAGCTTGGTAACTGCAGAAATGAAAGGATATCAAACACAGAAACAAGTATCTGTAAGACCTTATGTTCATTCACAAGAGCAATAAACTCTTCCTCCATGAACTCCTCGGTAGGCAGAATACCATCCATAAGTCTCTCAAGACGAGAGATTTTATCCTCACGGGTTTGAGCAATCATTGCATTGCATTCCCGTTCATATTTATATTGTTGGACCTGCAAGATCCACAGCAATGAGAAACATAACAAATAATAAACTCAATAAGAAACTCAAAAAGTGGAAAAGGAACAAGCACCAAACGCTCTAGCTGCATAATTTCGGCAGCTTGCTTTGCAGAATGATCTTCAAGTGCCATTTCTCGTCTGATTGATCCTGCCAAAACTTGCTCCACTGCCTATGTAGTCATAAAAAGATGTTAAGAACTTTTTCTTTTTTGAGGGATGAGGGAAAGATACCCAATAATTCACCACAATCTAATAGATCCAAGACAAAAAAGACTTGGGAACAAACAAAATTATGAATTGTTCATCTTATAATTTGAGACCTACTTTTGGTACATGCATCTTGGGTTTCTCAGTTGGTATCAATCCATCAACAGGTACCAGTTGCAGATCCTTGCTTTTGTTGCCATCTTTATTTTCATCTTCTGAAATTGCATTTTTGCAGTAACTACATATATTAGGTAGATCTTCTAGCTCTTCAAGTGCTTGAATTCCAACATCAACCTTGTTTACTGGGATAAGTGGCTTGCCTTCAGTTGGCCTAACAGAAAACCTGAATGATGACCTTCTCAAGACTGAGTTCTGCTGCCAATTATCAATAACTTGACGACCATGTTGGAGACTAGCTGTCAGGTGTTCAGTTGGTTTAAGGGAACTCCTTTTTATTTGACTCAAAGAAGCATCTAAGGATAGAGCTTCAGTTGATGCATTCACAGCTCCTGAACTTGATTTCACATTTTCCAGAATATTCTTTTGAGATGCTGACATTGATAATGATGTCCTAAGACTCTTCCTGCTAGTGGAAGTATCGACTATAGGTGAACTGTTCAAAGTAGGTGACTGAAGAACTGGAGATGTGTGGCAAGGTTCAATGCTAAGATTGGATGGCGATAATATGGTATTTGAAGAGAGGTCAGAGTTATAAGATGGGTCAGCAAGCATGATTTGCCCATTTTCTACTGAAGGTTTTCTTTCAGTAGGCAATTCACTATCTGAAAGAACATGAATCATTTCATCATGCATTATTACTTCACGGTTGGCATCCAGTTGACTGTCTAGATCATCACCAATAGAAGCAATTGCTTTTCCATCGGACTTTGCAGGGACTTGGCATG